CAATGTCAGTTATTGAGATCGAGAGCCTCGCCTGTCTATTTATTTTGTTCATAATAATGTTTTTCGTCGTCATGAACCACTTAGTCTTGATGCGGTTGTGGCAGCAACGAGCGGAACAGGACGGTGCCATGATGGATGTTCAAGACAGAGAGAACCTGATACTTGATACACCTTTACAGCCTAGAGTAGGTGAGATGGCTCCCATAGAGATGCATGCTATGCCGCATCAGAGAGGAGTTCTGGAGTCAGGAGGAAACTACATCGGGACAGCGATCGGTGTACAGCATATGGCTACGGAGCCAAGTACATTTTTCCGTCAAAGAATTGCAAATCGCCCACTTCCTCGAGAAAACGATGAATAACATCATTTCAAAAAAGGTAGGAGAAATTAATCAATCAGTTTTACACTCCTTTTATCCAGTTTCCTGTGCCGCTCTTTCAAGCTACTCCTGTGGCCAGTTTTCTAGATTTTGAAAATAATTTATTTTATCGCTCGATAAGATGAGTATATTTTCAATCGCTGCTTTGAATACCGGTATACGCAATCGAAAGCAAGCAGAAATAAACAGTAAACAAAAAAAAGAAGAGAGATCATGAAAACATTTTAATTGCACATTTTCATCCCAACAGGTCTTTTTCAGAGCTGACCTGTATTCCTGACCAAATTCTTCATGAAAGAGATTTGAGTGCGCGTGGCTGCTCACATTGTTGTCCATTCATGTCATGATCAGTGTCTCAAGAACATCTCAGTTGTATTCTTTGAGTTTTCGTTATATTTCCATAATCATTACATTGTTTTAGATATCTGTAATCTATCCATCCATTACAGTGTTTTTAAAAAAGTTAGTCGAGATAGAAAACATTGTAACTCGAACCTTTTCAATATACCTGGTAATTCTACTTCCCTTTTAAAACCGAAAATTTGTTTGAGGTGGGTTTCGGAGGTCCTCAAATATATTAAACTGAGTACTTTTACTTAGTGACTCGACTGTGGCAATCGGTTCTTTTAAAAACAAGATAGAAAATGTAACTTAAAAAATACCGAGCCAGAGAGCGACATAAACTGGAAAACTGTTGAATGGATTTAAAGGCACTTAAATAACCGAAAGGCTTCTGCTCCTGTCACTTAACTTTGTAGGAGGTCATAGTGTATACGCTTTGTTTTAGTTTCGTTTTAGAACACAAATCCTTCGTTGTCCATGTTTGTGACGACGCGTTCTTTTAAATTTCCTTACTTTTAACGATGGACGGCCGCTTGATTTCTGTCTGAGTTGAATGAAACTGCTAGATCATTGTTTGGGCAGTCGTATTTATACAGTATAATACCTCATTTCCCTAAATTTAGGTTTTCTAGAAAGTTTTATAAACTTGCTTTATTGCTGAATTAGCACCATTTCGTAATCTCTGAAAATTTGTAAACCTATAGCACCCAGTCTTCCCGCTCTTTAAAACAACTTCCGGTGCACCAGTAATAATGGAAGGAACAATATAAAATCGTGAGGAAGATTCGACATACTTCTCAACGATACTTGACCAGCAATAAACATGACACTGGCATGGTCGAAGGTCTTGTGAGACTCGCTATCCTGCCATTCTTGTGGATTAATCAACCTCGTTCCTTGGGTATTGTTTATCTTTCTCCCAGGAGGGAGAGAGAAGGCGAGTTTTTACCAGATGAGTGATGATCATTGATCGAGTATTTGAAATCAATCAGTCACTCTGGAGTGAGTTAGATGGCTGCCATAGGTACGCACGTTGTACCGCATTAGAGACTGGATTCAGGAGAACACCATGTCGGGACATGTCGACGATCGAGAAACAGCTTATGGGTGGTGTTCATCAGGTAAGGTAAGAACGTAGAAGTCAAAACTTTCAAGCACTTGAACGAACAACCCCCGCTATCAAAATCGCTTATCAGTGGTCTAGCCCATCATATGAACTCAGAAATCTGTGTATGTCGAAAATAGAATGCATTATATCTGTCATGAAAGTTCACCTATCAACCATGACCAACCGATAAGTAAACCATGAATACCGACAAAAGGTAATAAGGATGCTTCTGCACGCTGGCTTTAAGGCACACACGCTGGCTCTAAGGCACGCACGCTCTCTTTAAGGTACATACCCTGGCTTTAAGGCACACACGCTGGCTCTTAGGCACACACACTGAGTTTAAGGCACACACACTGGCTTTAAGGCACACACACTGGCTTTAAGGCACAAACACTGGCTTTAAGGCACACACACTGGCTTTAAGGCACACACACTGACTTTAAGGCACACACACTGGCTTTAAGGCACTCGCGCTGGCTTTATATCGGCCCTTTAGAGGAAACTGGTAATCTCAACCATGATGACCACGTAGACATTCATGAAAATAAGTTGCCAAAACCACGCGTAGAGGCAGACATCGAGAACATTTGATTAGGCCCCTTTTGCATCTGGAGGAGAAAAGTTTATGAATTAGTAAGAAGTTCTATTTTTCATTCGAATTATTTTTTTTCCTCGCTAGGCTCTTCTTTAGAGGTTTGTTTCAATTTTTCCGCGGGAACTGAACCGTCATAGAGACTGAGCCACTTGATGCTGCTTGCTTCATCTTGATGGTTGTGGTAACGTGCTTTCAAACTCCTCCACATGGTAAGACACATGCGGACACCAGGGAATCAAGGACCTTTTACGAAACCCACCAAAACCATTCATGATCAGAGTGTCTTAGGAACAGCCAGGGAACCCACTACTCGTCGTAGCGGAGCTGTAAAAAAGGACTGAACAACACAGAAATACAACTCCCAGCTGTGTAACCGCAAGAAGACGACATCCACAAGAACACGACGAGCGTTTTTCGTAACAAAGTAAGACAATTAAACGATAATGACTTTTTCATTTTTTGTCATCGTACTTTCTATCAAATTCTTCATCTCTTATCTGCACTTATCTTAGCGGACGCGGGAATGCCTCTTATAACCACTTTTACAGTTGGGAATAAAAACGAATCTCATTAATGTGTGTGAGTTACACAGAATGACTGAAAACGCATTTAAACAATTCATCATCCGACGACTTCAGTGCAACAATTGGACATGAGAAGTTTTTTAGCTTTTTAAAATATGAAAGACTGGAAAAATGCATTTTGGCATTTTAAACAAATTTTACTCTTTCTCTCATCAGATAATTTTAAGTAGCTGAAATGGCTTAGCGTAATGTAGAATGGTACAGCGTACGAGACTGAATTCTACCACGGGTGCCGGTGTCCTAGCGGATTTGGAACCCCCCTAGATTTGGACCCCCTGGTCCAAATCCGCTTGCGGTAGAGAAGCTAATCAAAAATATGGACCCCCCAACAGAACTGAGTGAAAACATCATCCTTAACGTTCTCGTAGAAATAGATAATACTTTACATTTCAGTGTGTACTAAAGTATGTTTTTAATTCAAAATATGCGTATCGCCGATGCATACGAACTGGCAGCTAGAAATGACCCGTCGGCTCCGCTAGCGGATTTGGACCGGTGGGGTCCAAATCCGCTGTGACACCGGCCTCCCGGTTTACCAAAGTTTGCACGCGTTGGTGGGCCTGAATATGTTTATAGTATTAAGTAGTGTTATGACGTGCATTAAATGTCGATTGTCGAGCTCTCTTTTCTTTCTCTGACTCACGCTTACTTTTCAATGGGAGTTCAACTTCAACTGCTCTTTGAACATTACAGGAGTACGTAAGAAATTGAATTTTGTGTGTGCCCTGGACGCCATGGTAAGAAAACTGATATCCTTGATCTGTTTTGACATCTGTTAATCAAAGTAATATCGGAATGCTTTAATTGGTGTGCCGGACGATAAAACCAATTCGGAAAAAAGGTTGCTTTGGCAAACTACATGTTTGATTGAAAATGTGGTAGAATCCAGTCTACCACAGCTACTTTAATTAACGCTTCCATGAACGACGACGAATAAATGCAATATCGGCGGGAAAAAAAGGAGAAACTCACCGAATTGGCTCTGCTTTACGGCAAGACGAAGTGAAGACTCCTCAACACAGCGACTACACCATGTGATGGTTTCGCGGCAGCCTTCGCATTCGATGACGTCATGCAGCAGATCGCCGTTCCATTTGCGGTTTGTATTTTTGGTGGTTTCGGCGAGATAGCCTTGGCGGCCGTCACCACCAAAAAAAAAGGATGTCAAATAGATCAGCAAATGCAAAGAAGGTTTAAGGATCAGCTGCAGGATAGCATAGCTAATAAAGGAATGGCATGGCTTTCACGTCACGCCACAAGCAAGCTCGACGACTCGCCACAACATCGAAATATTTCAGGTAATACTAAGCAATTTAATGTTCAGCGTCTGATGTTCCGCAAAGCTATTCGAAATTACGCGGAGCCATTTCACGCAACTCTACACCATTTGTGTGTACACTGAACCATTCGACATTAAGCTGAGCCATTTCACGCAACGCTACACTGTTTGTACGCTGTACCATTCGACATTACGCTTAGCCATTTCACACAACGCTACACCATATGTGTCTACGCTGTACCATTCTACATTACGCTGTGCCATTTGACGTAACGCTACACCGTTTGTGCGTACGCTGTGCTACTCGACATTACCCTGAACCATTTGACGCAACGCTACACCGTTTGTGTACTTTATTGCAAATGAGTGCAAGGCTATTCGCAATTGAGCTAGTCCATTTCACAATTTCATGTTCTAACTCGACATGGGCAGCTAGACCGTTTATCGTTTGGCTAAACTATCCATGTTTAGGGTGTTCTGTTTCACGAAGGAAAACTAAACCGTCTATAATTTGGCCATGCCATTCCTTTATTATCTATTCTATCTTGCAGCTGATCTTTAGACCAGCTTTGTATTTGCTGATCTATTTTTAAATTCGCATATTTCAGCTATTGCATTAAAAGTTTTGTCAGTCAAGTTCACGACCACATATTCCTCATCATTTCAAATGGCCATCGTCGATCTTCCAGGTCGAGGAAAATGTTTGCCATAAGATTTCACAAGGCAGAGCAACAATACTGTTGTCCTCACTTTTTGTTTCGATATCATCATGTGAGTCCGAGCTTGTGAAATAGTCAGGCGTTCGTACCATTTCACGAAACACACTATCGATATCTTCAAGAACGAGAGGGATTTGAGAATCTTCTGTTTCCTCTAGTTGCTGGCATTCACGTTGATGAGCATCAAACGAGGAAATCGCAGATCTAAATTCTTCTATTTCGTAATTGCCATCTGTAATGCTTCGATATAGTCGTCAGTTCATGAAGCCCACGTGGAATAATTAATGGTTATCATAATTTTCAATGGTTTAATTTGAGATTTACATGGTGTAATTGCTCATTCAAGGATGGAGAATCATACAGGAATTATACCTCATCATTTAATGAAAACGAAACTACCAATGATGACGTGATCTGTTCCTTTGTTTTATTCAATTGTTTGGTCAGGGTGGGAAAACATTACACCATTACACCATTACACCATTACACCTCGCAGGGGGGTGTTCATATTTATTAAATCCTTCTTTTCGATCTGTTTGCTACCATAACTGACTCGGCCTTTGCCTATAAACACAAAAACCTCGTGTATCTGAAGGAGAGAGAGTTAGTGAATACGTAATTTCTACTTTTTACTAAAAAAAACATTTAATTTCCTTGCCGGGCTCTTCTTTAGAGGCTTTTGTCAATTTTGTCGCAGGAACTGAACTGTCATGGAGACTGAGCCACTTGATGCTGCTTACTTTATCTGGATGATCGTGGTAACGTGCTGTATTATCAAACTCCTCCACATGGTAAGAAACATGCAAGCACCAGCGAATCAAGGAGCTCTTACGGAACCCACCAGAACCATTCATTATCAGAATACCTCAGGAACAGCCAGGGAACCCACTCCTCGTCGTAGCGGGGCTGTGGAAATGACAGAACAACAAGGAAATATTAATGCCGGCGGTGTAATCGAAAGAAGACGACATCCACAAGAACAAGACGAGCGTTTTTCGTAAAAAAGTAAGACAATTGTATGATAATGCCTTTTTTATTTTTTTTCATCGCACTTTTTATCATATTCTTCTTCTCTTATATCTGACCTTGTTTTAGCGGACGCGGGAATGCCTCTCAATTCAAAACCGCTTTTATGGTTGGAAATGAAAATAAATCTCTTCTTGGTCACGCGCGCCAAATATGTGTGCTACTCAGAATAACTTTTTTGAAATATGAAAGACTGGAAAAGTGCATTGTGGCATATTAAACAAATTTTACTCTTTCTCTCACCAGATAATTTTTTAGTAGCTCCTGCGTTCCTGTGCGTAGTCATTATCCTGAGTATAAAACAGCACTCCTGTGGGACCACGACAACAAACTTTGTTTTTTCGATTAAGTGAGTGCACTGATTTGATAGTAAAATAGACACTAGCTGGCAATAAGTCTTCAATAGTTTTAGCTTTAGTGAGCACGCTCTTTAGTTGCCGATAACGATCCTTCGGATTATGCAATTTTTTCGTTCCTTCTATATTACCGAGTATGTTAGGAAATATGTGGGCACTTGTGGTCATTCAAAATTAGAATAGTTGTAATGCGCACCTTTTTTGAGGAGCCATTAACGAAATTGTCTGTTAGGCTCCAGATTTTTTGTCTACTTTTGTCATAGTAAGTAGCTCGGTTGGAAATAATTCATTCTGGAATACTACGTTTTACAAAATAAGTAAGGTATTGACCTATATTCTATTGTAACCCATGGAATAGACCACACTTACTATTGTTTTACCGGCTTTACAGACTTTTCTCGTATTCTTTAACATCCCGCATGGGTTATTACGCTTATTAGTTGATAGATGGTGCTATTTATTGCTTAAGTTGTCGCAGACTTGTTTTAATGCCAGTGTAGTCAGTTTGTATTAACAAAGCAAGTGAAATGTAAAAATAAACTTATAAATCACAAAAATGTTGGGGTTTATTTCTTTAACACTTCTTATAGTAACTAGATACAGAAGCAGTGAACGGGTTGAGGTTTGACATTTACTGCGTTTATTCAAATACAACCAAGGAGTACTCAGTTTAATATTTTAGAAGCTCCGAAACCCACCTCATACAAATATTCGGTATTAAAAGGGAAGTAGAATAAGTAGCTGTATTGAAAAGGTTCGAGTTACAATGTTTTCTATTTTGACATACTTTTTCAAAAACACGACAAGAAAAAAACATTTTACATGTACTCGAACTTGAGATACACAAACACGGGTTAAATTTGCATATTTCAGCTCTTACATAATCAATTTTGTCGGTCAAGTTCACGACCACATATTCCTCATCATTTCAAATGGCCATCGTCGATCTTCCAGGTCGCGGAAAATGTTTGCCATGAGATCATAAGGGACTCCTTCCATTGTAAAATTCGCAAAAGTGAAGGGGTCATCTTCTCTCTCGTTGTCCATCGGATTCTGATGAAGTCTCGAGAACCGGAAGTGAGATCGATCGCTTCTGTGCAAAGGTTCTTCGTTTTCGGAGGGTGAACCAGAACCCTGAACGCCTTCTCCCTCTAGGATACATTGTTCCTGGTGTTCCATCAATTTATCAGACGGACACAGTTCGCCACAGATTTCACAAGGCAGAGCAACAATGCTGTTGTCTTCACTTTCGGTTTCGATATCGTCATACGAGTCCGAGCTTGTGAAATTGTCAGGCGTTCGTACCATTTCACGAAACACACCATCGCTATCTTCTACAACGAGAGGGATTTGAGAACCTTCTGTTTCCTCTAGACGCTGGCATTCACGTTGATGAGCATCAAGTTCATCTTGCTGAATCAGCGATCCACAGAATTCACAAGGCAAAGACACAGGCAAATCGTGTTGCCGATTGTTTATTCCCCCGTCGCATGCGCTATCATGGTCCATAAAGTCCCTAACCAAAACATATCGACTACACTTGTGGCAGAATTCCGTTCTGGATCCGCAAAATTCCTGGTGCTCTGACATTCTTTCTCTGGGTAGCCTCAGTTCACAATAATGGCAAGTAATTGGTCGCTTTCCACACTCGTAAGCCAAATGATTGCCTTCTTCACTTCTCGTTGTTTTTTGTCCGCACTGAACACAGTTTATTTCCACATGATTTTCCTCGAAGTGTTCTTTCTCTCTGCTTCTTTGTATCGCTTCTCCGCACAGCGAACACAATTTGAGGTTTCTTTTGCAGTGTACAAAGTGCATTTCGTAATTTTCTGAGGGAACTCTTCTGTTGCAGTTTTCACAAATCAATCCTTCGTTGTCCATGTTTGTGACGACGTGTTCCTTTAATTATCCTTACTTTTATCGATGGACGGCCGCTTGATTTCAGTCTGACTAGAATGAAACTGCTAGATCATTGTTTTGGGTAGTCGTATTTATACTGTATGTTACCTCATTTCCCTAAATTTAGGTGCATTGTTCTAGACTTTCTAAATTTGCTTCGTCGCTGATGCAGCAACGTCTCCTAATCTCTGGAAATTTCTAGAACTATAGTACCCAGTCTTCCCGCTCTTTAAAACAGTTTCCGGTGCAGTAATAGTAATGGAGGAAACAATCAATCGTGGGGAAGATTCGACATATTTCTCTACGATACGTGACCAGCAATAAACATGACACTGGCATGGTCGAAAGTCTTGTAAGATTCGCTATCCTGCCATTCTTGCGGGTTAATCAACCTCGTTCCTTGGGTATTGTTTCTTTATCCCATGAGGGAGAGAGAAGGCGAGTGTTTACAAAATGAGTAGTGATCGAAGATCGAACATTTGAAATCTCTACTTCCTTTTCCATTAAGCCAGAATAAAAATATTTGAAAGAATAACAGAAAGTCGAGATTTAACGACTCTTCCGAAAATTTGATACCTTTGTTGACATCGAGAACTGTTCACCCACTAGATAAAATTTCCACTTCTACTTGATCACGAAAATTAGCCCTATACTTATGGTCACTAAAAAAATTACTAAAAGTATAGTCAACGAGGATGTAAATATTAAAGGATGGATGGTTTCAGTCTTGCAATGTATATAGGAAAATTTTTGCTGCAGTAAAACTTACAAAGAAACAAAGATTTATATTCTCTCTAGGGTGGCCAATTCATATTATTAAAATATTTGATTAAAGCACATTATCTCTAACTCCCCCCCCACTAAGTATCTATAACTTGTTTAATCTATTCTTTACTTAGTCTTTTTCTTGACCCTGAAAAACTTGCATGGCAGTATATTTTAAGTCAGAAGTTTCATTTCTGAGAAATTCAATTTTGGAATCTGGCTGAGGTATTGTCTAAAGACAAAGGATGTCATGTGACAAAGTGCTGTTGAAAGCCCTTTAGCAGAAAGTGAAGGTATCTTATTGAAAAGTGAAGACATTGCATTGAAAAACATTGTTCACAATCTATACTTAAAATAATCTCTTTTGGAAGAAATGGTATGGTTGAATTGTTCAGAAGCTCACAACATATCCTAAAATAATATTATAGCGAAGGGATGGTGTGGTTTGAAGTGTTGGAAAATAGAAAAACTGCTCACAATCTGAAGCTCTACGTGACAGCATGGTTTGAATGAGATAATAAATAAAAATAGCACAGACCTTGTCATACTTGATAAATTTATTGTGTTTAACAGTAACAATGGTTCATTGTCATGAGCTAACTCAAACTGACAGAGTGTTTGCTTCAACAAAGACCAAAAAACTTCCCATTACTTGATGAAATTCACAGTTTGAAGGTGCAGTATAGCTTAACAGCCCTTTTTGATTGTTATCCAAAAAGACAAGACCATCTTGCCTGAAAACCATAGAGAAGCGTCTTTAATTACAATGTGGAACATGATTGAGAGGAGGTGGTTTTTTTTAAACACTCAACAAGCAAAATCAGACCAAGTGCATAACAGAGCAAATGCCAAGCTGTATATCAATATATCAACTTCACAGATCAATGGTTTTTACCATGAAGTACCTCAGCATATAAGATCAGCTTTTGTTTTGTTTTTAGATATGATGTATTCCAGCATCTCTCTCTGAGGCAAATTTCCAAGGCAAAAATATCGTTCATACCTCTCATCATAGCTGAAAATAATAAATAATTATAAAGTTATGAAAATGAAATAAGTACAAATAATAAAGAAAATAAAATATATTGAATGTAAATTACATTTTCATGTTATGATTATGAGGAAAAGCTCCAATTAAAACCTTGGTCAACCCTTTAACTCCCAGAAGTGATCAACATGAAACTTCTCACTATAATATCTATACATTCTCCAGCAAACAGGTAATGAGATTATTCAAACTTATCAGGTAGAAGCTGCTATCTTGATCTCGAACCAAGTTCCCATAACTAATTTACAAGGAAATGTGTAGTAGCTAGAGAGGAGAATTAACAATCAGATCTTGGGAGTTAAAGGGTTTAAGCAATGGGCAGTATCATTATTCTTGGTTAATGGGCCTCAATAATTCTCTTTTTGCAAAGTCTGAGGAAAATATACAGAACTTTTTGAAAGAAATTAAAATCTTGTCTGTATCTCCACCAACCTAAGGCCATTGCTACTAAATGTTTCATAAACCCATTTGTGTCATTTTTTTGTCAAATTTGGTTGGTCCATTGGACAAAAAGTAACATAAGATAAAAGTGATAACTGATTAAGGGAACCTGAGTTTAAGATAAGTCTGAATGTACAGGCTTGATTGGTAGTTTTTTTTCTTGATAAGAAAATTTTCAACATAATATTTTGGTAAGAAATTCGGCATAAACATTTTCCATTGAAAATTTAGTCTCAATAATCTGCTTTGAAATAGAATAGAGAATTTGAATTTAAGTTACAGGCCAATCAATTCAAAGCTTCAACACCCCCCACCCTCCCTCAGATAACCCACTGGTATTTGATTTTGACCCCTGCCCCAGCACCAAAAACTAATACATTATTTTGAGAAATTCTACAATATTAGTTGATCACACAGGGAATCATTACATGAAAAATATTCTTAGATAAGGCATTTGAATGCAATTTTGGCCCAGGGGGTGCAGGAATTTGTATAATACCAATCTTTAAATTTCAAATGCCCAGAGAGGGGGCGTAAGGGATGGGCAGTGTTCTTCAAATTGATTGACCCATTATATTGCAACAATTGAAATTTTGCTGTTCAAAGAGTGCGCCAGTTTTTTTTTCTGTATTTACTTTTCCAGAAATGGGTAGGTTGGGTTATGGGAAACGAAACATTTCATAACCACAGGGTTTCTTATAATGCACAGTTAACAAACCTATCCGGGTAAAATGCTTTTGAAACCGTTTTTCAAAGTGTGAACTGTCGTTTACTTGTTTCCGTCGTACGGTTACACATTTGAACTTTGAATCGAACAATAGTTTTTAACGGATTACTTATTTTAAAATCATGGACGCTGGAATAGATTGTAAATCATACATGTCATAAGAGATCAAACAGTCCCTGATAATCAACTCGAAGAAGGCAAAATAAAATTAAGCAAAGTCAATCAAAATAAACAATTCTTACTAGTTCATAACCATCTGATATTTGTAATGTAATTATTTGTTCAAAATAATAAATGCACTGCCAGTAAGAACATCAGACCAAAACTAGCTACAACTTACTTGGCAACCAAACACAAAAGACAAAACATCTTGTCGCAGTGTGCACACTCTCGCCTGCAATCGTCGCATGCGTTCCGTTCACAGAACGTACACTTCACACCGCGACCAGTCTTCGTTTGGCGACAACGATCACAGTTGACGGTTTCATTGCATATTCCTTCCTCAATTTCACCATTCTCGTATCGCTCCATTCCTTCTCGCAAAGCTTCAAGTGTTTTCGCTGAAAGTGTTTCAAAAGCAGAAATTATTTTTGATCGAAACCGATTTTAAAAAGCCATGTTAAAGTCGTTTGCACAATTTTAATTCAGTCAGGTACCTACCATAAACGTTTTCCATGTTGTTTGACTTCTCAAATTCAGTAGTGTTCACATGAGTCTTGAGCTGCATTGGACAGGATTGATCGAAAGGAAATTCCCTTTTGGACATCTTAAATTGCGATTTTTTTGTCTGTCACTCTTGCCTCAACGAAATATATGGCTAAGTGAAAAGGTCAACGGTATATCGTTATTTGAAATAGAACGAATGATCAGCCTGCTTATTGGCTTGGTTTTCGCGCCAAATTTTACGCTCTCTATCTCCCGGATCTTGCGCACGACAACTAAGCGCGTTTCATTTGAAATGGAGGCGGCAACATGGACACCATTTTGGAGAAGATTTTAAAAGGGGAAATAACATCGGATGACTTAACCGATCCTCTTCAGATTGTTCAAAATGAGGTAAGCTTTATCATCTGAACAGTGTGGCCGAATTGTAGGTACCGTGGAGAAGCAACGATGTTTTTATCAGCTTGTGCAAGTGTCCCGAGCTCTCTTCCGCAAGGTTACTTAGTCCGCAGTGTATTTGTTTTGATTAAAGCTGATGGCATGTAGAAAATTATTTTGGAATCGGAAAAACAAATTACCATAACTGGAATAATCAGAATTCATTCTTATTACACCAGTTTTAATTTGGGATAACAACGTGAACTCTCTGGGAAACCCCTGGCCCTCGGTAACTTAAGGAAGTTTTAAAGTTCTTGACCAGGGGTGTGCTAAACGTGGGTTGGGGGGAGCGGGGCGGCGGCGCTGATTGAGGTCTGAAATGGGTTAGGGTTAGGGTAACTATTATTTTTCTCGATTCTCACCTAGATTTGATGATGGCTGTATACAGTATGCATACCACTGGTTGAAAACCTATTTTATAAAGAACAAGAAGTTATACAGGCTTTCAATTATACAAGTAAACTTTCTAGCGCATTGTTAACTCCCCAAACAATGAACAAAAACCATTTTTGATTTAAGACAGGTGGAAGGATAAGGGCCTAACTAAGAGGGGGGGGGAGCAGAAGGGGGCTCAATGGAAACCTAAAGTTCTAGATGAAGGCCATATTGAATATAGGGGCATCATTGAGATGGAGGCTTATCAGAGCATAAGGTGGTGTAGTTGCCTATGTTAAACTGGCATTGATCCAATGCAGCAAGCATTTTGATGCAGTTGCCTGCTTTAGTGAATGGATTCTGGGATAGCCACCATAATTATTGTTTATTTTGGGGTGTGAGATACAAGATACAAGATACAAAATGTTCTGAGACATTTAAGCTTTTTTTTTTATTTTCTATTTGATCCACATGTCAAGGGTGAAAAAGTGAAGTTAAAACAGCACAATATTGGAGAGCTGGTCCCCTTCCTTCTCAACTACCTCAGAGAAAAAACCTTGCATCACTTAACCCCACGACAAAGTGCTGCTCTGACACCCAAGAAGACATCAGTATCCCATGGCAAAGGTGCACCGGAAAAAGCTCTTCATGTGGCAAAGGGCTCCTCTAGGGGGAATGTACTTCCTTCACAAG